ATCAGAAATATTTCTATGCATCTTAAGACTTAATAATATTTCAAAATGTCGCTATTTAAAAGTGCCCGAATGTGCAACTGTTGCTATGATAATCAAAATTATCACGGATCACCCGCGAAAAGCGATTTCCGTAACACAAATTTCAAAGTTGAATTCCATCCGCTCTCACCAAACCGCGTGGTGAGTGGTGGTTCACCAGTACACAACGAAAGGCTCCCCGCAAGCAGCTAGCTATCAAGAAAACCTCAACCGCTGATCGGATTCAGTTCCAATCACCGTGTGTGGTAGTGGTCGGTCGTCGGCATGAGCTGCAGCAGCAGCAGTGCTTTCGGCGCGTGGCGCTGAACATTGTTCTCCAATAAACCCCGAAAGACTGTCTGCAAGCAGCGAGCTGCAGCCCACATGAGCATCAATAGAAGGAGGAAGATGGCGCACCGCTATTGATCGGAATCAGTAGCTCTTTTTGAGTCGCTGTGGGCCATCTATTCTAAGCGCGTCACCCTCATTCCAAACAACATACAGCTCACGAGCCTCATCTGTGTTTAATAACCTAATAGCTCAGCATTACTCAACCATCACGACAAAACCATAACCATCAATTTGAAAAAGAGTATTTTTGGACATTTGCCAGGGTCATCAATCGTTGTCAGTTGCCATATCAAAATAGAGCTGGAATTAGGGCGTAACATCTTTTGTAAACAATGACTTCTTTCGATGATGTCTTGAAAGTCAACGCTCACCCACGCAAATCAACATCACCATCAGGTAGGGTAAGACTTTCCCTACCTACAAAAGCTGTTACGCCAAGTTCCAGCTCTATCAAGATATGTTTAACTCTTACATACCATGTACTTTAAGGCAACATTTGGGGTGCCATTTTAAAAACCAAAGTCGGTCGCGGCATGAAAGTGGTCTGACTTTAATCCAGAGATGATGGATTTTAATTCTTAAAACGCAATCGATAGAAATTTTTACTACGAATCTGTTAAAATTAACACCTTTTCATTTTTCAAAATGTCACTATTGAAAATTGCACGTCACGTGTTATGATAATTAATATTATCACCGATTGCCTGCGAAAAGCAATTTCCCTAACATAGATTTCAAAGTTGAATTCCATCCACTCCCACCAAACGGTAGCGGTGTTCTCCAGTAAACAACGAAAGGCTGCCTGCAGCCCACATGAGTCTCCATAGATGGAGCAAGAGGTCGCACCGCTATTGATCGGAATCAGTAGCTCTTCGTGAGTCGCTGTGGATCATCTATGTCAAGCACGTCATATTAACCCTCCGTTACTCGCGCCAACTTTTGTAACACGAGTACTCGCGCGTTGTACTTTGTACAACAGTGTGAGTTTTCCATTGCCATTTTGCAGCCCAGCTACCAACGGGTATTCCTTAAAAAACTTGTTTTTAACTAAACAAGCTAAACTTTTACCACAGTTAACCCCCAAAAAATGCGGATAGTAGAGAAAATGTGAATGGAAACCGCGTAAACGGTGTCCGTACTACGTGGGATTTGACTTAATTGGTTACAACATGGAACATCTCGAGATCCTGACCAGATAAAAAGCTACTGCCTTGGGAAAAGTTGTTCTAGAGATCATAACCTTTTCGCTGGTGGAGAGTAGTTCAGAATTTTACCACTACGTAGCGCTAGAATACATGTGAAATTACCGCATGTGATATATCTCGCGATCATGACCAGATAGAAAGTTACTGTTGTCGACAAAGTTGTTCATGAGATCAAAGTCTATTTCTTGGTGCGCAATAGTTCTATTTTTTTTCAATACGCGGCGCTAGTATACACGTTAAATTCTCATATAAAATATCTCTAGATCCTTACCAGATAAAAAGTTACTGTCTTCGGCAAAGTTTTTCAGGACGTCAAGATCTTTTTGTTGGTGGAGAAGTTCAGAAAATTCTCACTACGTGGCGCTAGTATTTACGTGAAATGTTTGCATATACAACAGCTTGAGATCCTGAGCAGATAGAAAGCTACTGTTTTCGGCAAACTTGTTCAGGGGGTCAAGAATTTTTGGCTGGTGGACAGTAGCCCAGAATTTCCTCACCTCTTGGCGCTGGTAAACGTATACAATTCTCGCGTATGCTATAGCTTGAGATTCTGACAGGTAGAAAATTACTGTCTTCGAAAAAGTTGTTCATGAGGTCAATGTCTATTGCTTGGTGCACAATAGTTCAAAATTTTCGCACTACGTAGCGCTAGTATACACGTGAAATTCTCGCATGTGGTTTGTTTCGAGATCCTGACCAGATAGAAAGTTACTGTCTTCGACAAAGTTGTTCAGGAGGTCAAAGCCTATTGCTTGGTGTACAATAGTTGAGAATTTCCTAAGCGGCGCTAGTATACACGTGAAATTTAAACATATAAAATATCACGAGATCCTAACCAAATAGAATGTTACTGTCTTCGGCAAAGTTGTTAAAGGGGCCAAGGTCTTTTGGTTGGAGGACAGAAATTCAATTTTTTTCACATCATTGCGCTTGTATACCCGTGCCATTCTCGCATTAAATATATTTCGAGACCTGCTAAACTGTCATCAGCAAAGTTGTCCAGGAGATCAAAACTTTTTCGTTGGTCGACAGTACAGAATTTTCTCACTACGCGGCGCTAGGATATACGTGAAATCTTCGCATATATAATATCTCGAGATCCTGAACAGTTAGTAATTTACTAAAGATCTTTTGGCTGATGAACAGTAGTTCAGAAATTTCTCGAAACTTGGTGGGCAATTCTCGCATAAAATACAATTTACATCAGCCTAAGTGGGATAAGACAAATATATTCTTGATTTCTTTTACTGGTGAAGATTTTCATGCAAGGAACTCTCAGAAAAAATAAAAGAGAAATACCCCCTAGTTTTCAACCCAACAAGAATAAACCGGATTGACACGCCGACTTCGCATTTCGTCAAGATATGACACTTTTGTCATATGCTACAAAAATGAACAAAGGTGTTTTTTTTGCTGTCGACACAGTCTATCAACTTTGTGCAACATTTTTGGTTGCAAGAGTAACAAACAGGTGGCCCATTGTTATCTTCAATACAATTTCAATATTTCTGGTAATAAAATTTAGATATGAAAGTGGCATCATCAGGTATGAATGCACAAATCATTGATAAGTCAATAATCCAGAGGACTCGTCGAAATTCAGAAGAGTGTTTCTTCATCATTTGGCTGTCGGTCTTATGAACGCGCAATTAATCTCGAGGGCACCTATCTTAAATCCTTCTTGCATGCATTTGTGCCAACAAACGATCATGGAAGCACCGAAGATAAGTAATCCGCAAAATAGGAAGGGAACTTTTAAAACCTGCGGACGTAGCCGAAACACCTCTACAACTCTCACGTGTGGTAGATGCAAAAGATTTACATGTAAACAACACGCTACGGCTACAACGCTGTGCAGCAGTTGTGCAACAGATGATGCTAATGAAGATGATTAGTTGATAATGTTGTAAATATCATATGTCGAGAAAATCTGTTTAAAATATGTTACGTTAGAAGAGAAAAAATAAAAAATAAGAACAATATGTGACTTGAGGCTTCGCACTCAATAAGGTACAAATTGAAATAATATGATCACATCGAACTATATTCATGACTTCTAAACCTATATTGGGTATAATGGAGGTATCTAGTTCCTTTTCACATCCAAATAATAAAGCTGCATATGTGAGAAGTGTACATGTATACTAACGCCACGTGGTGAGAAAATTATTAACTACCGTCTACCAGCCAAAAAGTCTTGACCCCCTAAACAACTTTACCGAAGACAGCGACTTTCGAGCTGATCAAGATCTCGAGCTATTGAATATGCGAGAACAACACGTATATACTTGCACCGCATAGTGAGACAACTCTGAGCTTTTGTCACCCAACAAAAAGATCTTGACTTCCTGAAAATCTTTGCCGAATATATTTACTTAAAATCTGGTCGGGATCTGGAGATATTTTATATGCGAGAATTTCACATGTATAGTAGCGCCGTGAAGTGAGAAAACTTTGAACTACTGTCTACCTGCGAAAAGACCTTGACCTCCTGAACAACTGTGCCGAAGATAGTACCTTTCTATCTGGTCGGGAACTCGAGATATTTTATATGAGAATTTCACGTGTATACTAGCGTCGTGTAGTGAGCGAATTTTGAACCTCCTGAAAATTTTCGTGAAAGACAGTAACTTTCTATCTGGTCAGGATCTCGATATATTCCATGTTGTAATCAATTATGTTAAATCCCACGTAGTATGGTCACAGTTTACGCGGTTTTCATTTACATTTTCCCTATTATCCGCATTTTTTAGTTGTTTACTGTAATCAAAATTTAGCTTGTTTCGATCAAAACAAGTTTTTTGAGGAATACTCGTTGGTTTCAAATCGATTGGTAACTCAGCAACAAAATGGCAATGGAAAACTCATGTCTGTTGTACAAAGTACAACAGCGCGAGTAACGGAGGGTTAAAGACTATAAACAGAGAGAACCCCGCTCAAATTCCTATTCCAATACAAAACACAAGCCCATGCAGCATTTAATAAATAAGATTTATTATATAAGACCACGCAGTCCTACGTCACCATTGCTTACAACCCCATAGGGCTGTCCCTTGTAGTTTTTAATCCACACAACAATAGAACCATTTCAATTTTGAAAAGTGTGTCATCATATATTTTTTAATTTAGCTAAATATTTTTTTCGGACCGGGTTCTATAATAGAGATTGCTGAAGTGTGATTGTGTCAGTGATTTGTTTTCGTCTGGAAACTTTTTCGCTATGAAGTTTTTTTTCCCGATGAAAACATTTAGCGTACATCAGCAAACTCTATAGGCAGCTTCATAAACTCGATATCAGAATTAAATGTCAAATAGAGACTCACAGTAAGCATTATTGGCGGAGGAAAGTGGAGGGGATTAACATGCAGGTAGTACGAATGGGGAATTGCATTGTTTTTTTGTTGCAGTGATGGTTGGTTACGTTACCTCGATGTGATCACAGATCACGCCTAGCTGTCGTTGTTCGGTGTCGCAGCAGTAGTACTCGGTGTCCCACTTACAGACGTAGCTTTGCTGTTCGCCGTTCGGGAGTTGCTGGTGCTTGTGCTGGGCGTAGAACGCGTCGTCCAGATGATGGTGATGCTGCTGCTGATGGCTTATTGTCGTATTTTTGAAGTAGTGTTCGTCGAAGGGATCGAGCTTGCGGCTACGGTAGACACTGCACTTTCGCTCCAGGGCTCCGGGGGCCGGTGTCAGCGGTCGTCCCTCATCGTCCGTTGCCCCAAGGTTCGCGGTGGTGGAGGTGAGCTGAAGGTTGAGCTTGCCCGGTGGGGTGGCCTGCGGTGTGGCCGGTGTAATTATGATCGGATCGTTGGTGGGTATTTGTAGGTGAAGGGGCTGTGAGAATGTGTTGGGATTTGGGCTGGCGAGATGAAATGTGGACTGCTGATGTTGTTGATCGGCGAAGCAGAGGGTAGCGTTAGGCGTTTGTGGTGGTGTTAGATCATGTGCTTGAGAGACCAGTGGCAATGTGGCGGTTGCGGACTTGGTTAGCTGTTGACGTCTTACCAATTTGTCGTACTCGCGGAATCCGGTCGGTTTTGGGAATGGGGGATGGGCGGCAGTGGCGGCGGTGGCTGTGCCGGCACTTCCGCCCGCGGGTCCATGAACAACATAGCACGGACCCGGCTGACCCGGATGGTGATGATGGTGGAGATTATGATGATGGGGCGTATGAGGCGGATGAGCTCCATGGGATGAAGACGATTGTTCACTGATAGGTACCAACGATTTGTGGTGCTGATCGTATCCGGGAACGGTGGTGTAGCCGGCGCTGAGCTTCCGATGGTGCTGGTGAGGCGCCCGCAGATAGGAGGCAGGTAACTGGTGAAAGGGTTTACTTTTGGTCGGAGTTGTGACCGCCTTGGCAGCTAGCTTCTCGCGGAGGATCAGCTGGTTGGTGGCCTTGTTCTTGGTATTCTGTGCGGCCTGTTTTTTGCGGGCCTGGCGTGAGGCCAGCGAGGCACCTCCGGCTGCTGCATACATGGTGGCGGCCGATTGTGCGTGTCGCTCTTAATAATTCCGTGTGTGTGTGTGTTGTCGATCGTTGAAGAGAGAGATTGTTATACGGTTGTAGTAGTAGTCGTTAGTAGTAATGCCAGCAGATTCGATTCCAGTTCAGGTTTGCTCTAAGTAACATCAATTTCGTACGTTCAAGCCACAGTTATGCGTAGAATACGACAGTCGGGGATACGGGAACGGCGCCGGAGGGGAATTACTCACTTGAGACATAAAGTTCAAACATTTTTCCTCTTCGTTTATACCTAAATAGCTTGTAGACAGTTATCAAAAAAGGTTCGGTTTTGTTCGGTTTGGTGCACCTAGTCGGATTATCAACAATAAAGACTTAAAGATTTTTCCTAGTGTATGGGATTCTCTTTTGGTTTGGTTTGTTCGTAAATTAAGATCTTCCGTTTCGTGTGGGCTTGTTGCAGTACTTGATAAAAATGGTGTAGTAGTGTTGTAAGAACGGTGTGTTTTCGTGTCTCTCCTTAGTGTTAGGGTGTGTTTTTTTTTGTGTGTGTGTTGGTGACCTCTCTTAACAGTACAGTTACAGACGGTTAAAGCTCCCTAGAAAATTAACACCTTCAAGCGCAAAATACCACTCTGCACCTAACATTGACGCATATTTCCTATAAACTTTGGTATGTTCTATGTTTTTAGTTGCCTTAGCTCTCTACCTGTTTTCGTCAGTAGCTTGTTGCACTTTGTTTGTATAAAATGTTAGAAAATGGCTGAAAAAATCGATTCCACCCTTCCATGCCACCTACAATTCCTTGCTTGCTTTTCTAGCGTTTCAATAATTCCTAGGGTTGTTTCGTGTAAAAATCAAATATAAAATCCCTTTGGTTGCTCTCTGTATTTCGCTATCTCTTTGTTGAAACTTTGATTGGTAGCTTAACGTTGCCTAGACTTAGAAAAGGTAACAAATACAACAATATTCAAACATCTTTGTTTGCTCTTCTTCGTTAACAGTGAGTATTTGCTGCGTTTCTGGGGATGGCGCAATTCGCTAGTGATATCTTGCTCGTTGATTTGGTTCGGGACTTAAAAAATGTCTTCGAAAATATCGCCTCTTGTTCTCTATGAAAACTACAGCCACCAAAGACCGAGCAAAACTCATCAAATCAACACTTATTGGTATCAAAAATTTCAACAAATCAGTTGAATCAACTCTCAGCTCTAGGCGAAAAATAATAACTTCAACAGATAGTTGATCCTCTTTCCCGCGTTCAAAAAACCTAACACTCAATTCCTTCCTCCAGGGATTGCGGAAGCGTTTGACTCGCGGAAGAAAAACAGTTCCAAAAGTTTACCTTAAAAAATGGCCTTCTCCAATCCCAGCTACTCTTCGTCTTTATCCTAGATTTAGCTTACATAACCCACCGATCTAGCGCCAAGCTCACATCAATTTCTCACCACCTAACACGCTCTACACTGGACAGAATCGGAATGCTCATTTTCTCCGGACTACCGTTCGATAATTTCCCAGGAGCCAGTAAAATCGATATTTTCCTTCCTTCCTATTAGCGCTTATTTGCGCACTACCTACACAAGCAACTAGTTGCCCACTAACTTATTCATGAGTATTGTCTGATCATTATTTTAGTTCTTGTTTTGCTCCTCGAAAATTTCCGGCTAAGGAGGGAGCAATGAATTTTTAATTCAAGTCACGGAATCGCAAAGAAACTTTACTGTCTATCAACAAATTACCCTAGCTATCAATGGACTACGATGATGACGACGATGACGACAATAGCGGATCCTTACTTAAGACACTTATGTTTGTGTGGGTGGGTATAAACTAACACAAAGTTAACAATCGGTGGCTTTGCCCCGGCATTGATTGTTCGATTTCAGCTCACTCAATAAAACTCCGTTTTCTCGGTACAAATATTACTTGATATAAAAAAAATTAAAATGTATGATTACCTAAAAATCAGGTTCTCTTTTGTGTGAGTGTGTGTTTTTAAGCGTATCCGTTTCCTATTGATTTTTTTTTGTGTGTGAATTAACGATCTGGGTCGAATTCCTGATTGTAGTAGTTTTTTGCGCCTTCAAGGACTTACATGCTTTCTAAGGTCACGAGAGTCACCACTGCCGGCGTTCGGTTGCGAAAGAGGGAAAATGTTTGTCTGCTTGAAATGTGCTAGATGATGCTGAAGGAAAAGAAAACGAAACTGTCATCATCGCTGTCAGTTGTGAGTTTCGAAGAAGGGGGAAGGTTCTGTCAGGGACTGTAGGGATGGTGTCGTTTCTGTGCTGGTGGCATGCTGGACTTGGCTGGAACGACTGGCTCTTGGATGATCGCCAGTTGATTGGGTTTCGATCGAGTCGAGGTTATTGCTGTAAGAAAATTTCAAAGAATGATGAAGATATTGTGCTTTTTTTTTATTGGGAGGGTGGTGTGTACAACAGCGCTGCTATATTGACTTCAAACCTGCGGTGGTGTGATCGCTTGTATGTAATTTCATATTTATAGTTTATACTTGATCTATATAGGGACATTTCTAACAAATTGGTGTCACGTGGAGCATCCCAGGATTCGGAAAATATTTATTTGATATCCCTGAGAATATCAGCCGTAATCAACAGAAGTGAATAATAGTGATTTTTTTTTAATAGTCGTATGCTTTCAATTAGTTTTTTTTAATCGATGTTCTGACATGTATGTTTGATTTTATTTTCACTGTTCATCTCCTTCGAAAAATTATAAACCTTTCAGCCTGCACCATTTGAAACAAGATTTTTATCTACAATTTCGTTCAATTATTTTTTTAAATATTTATGCATCACTATCAGTGTTGGCAAAATCATCAATCATATGATATTTTTCCGTTCTCATACGACCTCAATATCAAGCGTGATATTCGAACAAAATATCATGATTCCTAATGATTTTACAAACTCCTTTGATTTTGCGAGACTATTCTTCGATTTGAATTTCATAGATTTGCCTTCTGAAAAATTATGTCAACAAAAAAAAAATAATTATACGGAGCAGACTGGAACCGAACCATGGACGATGAGATTACGGGTCCTGTGTCTCGATCACTCGTCTGTCAACGCTTGAGTAAATAGAATGGCTAAAGGCGTATGTTAGACGGAGTCACACTTATGAAATTCATATGCGTCGTTCATAAGCTAAGCCTTATGAAATTCTTAAGTCTATTTGCCTCAGTGTATTGATGAACCTGAGAGTTGACTCGACACAAAAATGATTTCGTTGCATATCGTTTTCTTAGAAAGAGAAAGTATAGTTTGCTATCTCTATTTATTCTTTACCAATGGCAGACACGAAGCTTCTGCTCCCAGCAGTAACGGAAGCTTCGGATTGCGTTAGGATGTAAAGCAAAAATCATGAAACTCAAACTCGCCATGTTTTGGTTAGAACTGTAGCTGGTGAGTTTCGTAGCTACGATATCACAGCTTGTTTTATCATCCGCAGCTTCTTGCTAGTTGATTTTTGTCAAAGAATGAGTTGACCTTGAAATACAATTGAAACCTGAATTAATTGACCTGAATACCGCTCCCCTTTTTCGGTGATTCTTCAATACCAGTGACCCCAGGATTGAAGACATGTCTTCATTTTGAAGACATTTAACATTCGGTGAAGGTATTTTTTTCATGCAGACATTTTGAAGACATTTAATGTTTTGTGAAGTTGTTAGAAGACATGCTGAAGCTGAAGATATAATAAATTGTATGTAGGCATATGAACATTTTTTTGACGTAGGACTACGTCTGTGACTTCTACATGGGGGTACACTTTGTGATAACCAAAAATGAAACATGTAACAAAATTATGAAAGATTTTGAACGTTAAAAACTCAGCTGCCCCTGGGTCAATTTCAATAGTTTTATCACCAATCGATCAGAAATATTACGACGCATCTGTTAAATTTAAGTCAATAGTGACATTCTTCAAAATGTCACTATTGAAATTGCACGAATGTGCAACTGTTGCTATGATAATTAAAATTATCACTGATTGCCTGCGAAAAGCGATTTCCCTAACACAGATTTCAAGGGTTGAATTCCATCCGGTCTCACCGGTGGTTATTCAATCACCGCGCGGTGAGTGGTGGTGTTCTTCAGTACACAACGAAAGGTTGCCTGCAAGCAGCGAGCTGCAGCCGACATGAGCATCCCTAGAAGGAAGAAGAAGCCGCAACCTTATTGATCGGAATCAGTAGCTCTTCGTGAGTCATTATAGGCCATCATCTAGTATGTCAAGCGCGTCATTCTAAAGAATATAAACAGAGAGAATCCCGCTCAAATTCATATTCCTACACAAAACACAAGCTCCCCCAAGTAACAATTTTGGTTTTATGAGGGTTCTGTGGACCATGATTTAGACTTGTAGAATGCTTTAAAACTTTGATAAAACTTGCAATGTTACTTGGGCCTGCTGTAGTTAACAAATAAGATTTATTATATAAGCCCACGTAGTCCTACGTCACCATTGTATACAACCTTGTAGTTTTTTTAAAGATATGAAGCTTTTGACTTCAAATTTTAGCTCCTTTTTGAAAACGTCGAAAATGAATAATGTATCATATCCACAGGACTGCACTGAAATCTTCGATTAGCGGAATACTTCCTGATGAACGAACCATTTTGGAGAAATATCTTCAGAATAATACTAAAATTCGGACACGAAAATCTTTTTGGTGTTTAAAAATGCGTTTTATTTTTCATAGTACAATGTAACAGTCATACATGAGTAGGTATTATGCTTCTTGTAAGACCATTGTTTCAATCTTCCTTCCTACCATAGACCAGTACTCGAAATTTTCTGCGTGCACGGCCCATGATTTTTTGCATGAGATTCTTCAGGTCAATAGCAGCAGTATTCCTCAATTGGCCTCAGTTCCGGAGTATTGGCCGGATTCATCTCCTTGGGAACCGCTGGGTCGCCGTTTTCGCTGTACCACTGTTTGGTGGAATTTGAGTTGTGACAGTTTGCCAAGTCCGGCCCCAATAAGCAATCCACCTTATGCTGCTTCAGAAAAAGCAGTAGTCCCTTCCGCAGGCACTTCTCTTAGTAAATTTTCTGGTTCATGGTCCCAGAAGTAACGATAGTTTCGCTTTTCAGTCCACATCTGCAGATTGCTTGCCAAACAGGGGATTTTTTGAGGAATTTCGACTTCTTTTTGATTTTACATTCTTCCGGAGCACTTTTCCGATTAACCGAGGTAAGAAATTCCTGCCAGGAATTTCTAATCTAATCTAACACCAACACAGCCAATTCATGAAAGCATCCTGGAAAATGATAAATATACCTCCATCATTTTTCTTGTCTATTTGGTATATGTTGCAGAGATGCGCAAAATATATCAAAACGGCCAGGCCTACAGTGCAGCATTTAAGGGGCAAGATGATTCAGAAACCTCGGGCCTGTTTAAGTCAAAGATATAAACAAAATGCTTCAGAATCCAATAAATGGATGAAACGTGGACATCTCGCACCGTACGTTACGTTGTTTTTTTTTTAAATTTATAAATGATTGGTCGTTGGGAGCATCTAGTCAAAAAAATTTGAGGTATGCTCCATCTTCCTTTAGTGGTCTGGACATGAGAACTAACTCTTGTCCTAGCCCTGTATGGCCTTTGGTTACATTGCCATTACTCGCTGTAGAGATGAAGGAAATGAAAAAAAAGGGAAAGAAGCTAGGTTTGTGGGCATTTTTAAGAGGAAGTTTACCAAACCGAAAATTTAATTTCTTATTCAGTGCGTTTTTATGTTCCTAAAAATACTAGAAAGAACCAAGAAAATCAGTTCCCGTCTCAGATTTTTGAGAAAATTCATAATTAAACAAAAAAGAGACACTCAGCGAAACCAAATGGTCGCTGTTTCGTGTTTTTTTTAGTCCAGCTTTATGCCATGATGATTAGAAAATGTTTTTGCACATGATTCCACCTTAAAAATCAGAAAAAAATGTGATGTATTTAGATTTATGTTATCTCTCAATACTTCTACAAAAATCAAAACGTAATTATTTTTTCGGAGTCGTGAACTTCCCCTTAACTGGACATCTGTTTGTGTGAATTTGTTTCTTCACGCCAGCAAACCAGAGTTCAACAGTGGAAATAAGGAAAAATTCAAGTCTGCATTATCGATCGATTTTCATTAACACCATGTCTAGAACCCAACACACTACTTGTTGCCATATACAAATTGAAATTGTTCTCAAAATAATATAAAATATGGAATGATCTCAGCGATCTCTCAAAAATGACATGGTCCAAATTGCAGAGTTTTCGTTTTGTAAGCAGCAGAAACAGAACAGCAGCAATGCCTTTAGCAGCTCGGAAACATAAATGCTGATTTCCGAATCTTCAGCATTCAGCTGCTCCGAAATATCAGAGGTTACCAAAATCATAAAAGCACCACTACACTTCGCAACCCGTAAATTTTACTCCTGAACCGCGCACTAGAAAATACAAATTTCACGACGGAACCGAAAATAACGGAAAACCCGAATCACAGCTCACACGACCGGAATTCCGTTAAAAATACTTATGGAAATAGCCTTCAATTTTTATACTCATGAAATTCCTGCCAGGAATTTGATCGAAAACTGCCAGGAGCGGATAGACCGAGAATTTCGTTTCGAGCGTGCAGGATTGAATCGCGACGTGCTTTCTCCGGTGAAGCCACAATGTAAATGAATGAACTTATCATGACAACCAATGCCTACTGTGATTCTATAACTCTTAGCTTGAATCAGTGAAATTTTTAAACAAATAGTCAAAAAATGTCGTAATGAGAACGTTTTTGATGTGCCCGGATTTGTTCGTGTTCAACCTTTACATAAACCTGAAGCCTTGAAAAATATCCAGAGGACTTTATTGAAATCCACGATTAGCTGGAAATATTTTAAATACTTTCTGAGTAACCTGTTATCCTGAGAGAGCCAAATTAATTTTTGTTCAGTTATATAAATATCCAATCAACCAGCAATCTTGGAAGACTAACTGGAGAAGACATTAAACATTTCGGAACAGTGGAATATAATAAAAAAAAAATATTGATCAATCTGAAGCCTTGAAAAATATCCAGTGGGCTTTATTCCAATCTCTGATCAGCTGTATATCTTTCAAATACTCTGTAATCAAACTTCCTTCTTGGAAGGATATCTGAGGTTGGTAAGCGTGACTGCTTCTCACTCCAAAGGGCCTGAGGTTAATCCCAATCGGCACCATCGGGATTTTCTGAGGCATAAAATTTCTGATCACGCCTTCCTTCGCAAGGGATGTAAAGCCGTTGGTCCCCGGTCCAAGAGTTGATGGGTCGATATGTAGGGTCCAGGTGTGGACGCTGCCTCCCTGCCCGAGTAGCAC